ATATTGTGGAATGACAATCTTTTTCAGTCAGCAAGTTGCAATATATCATATAATGCTTACTACTAGTTCCCTGTATTCTCAAAGTTTTTTCCCCCATCCTAAGAAACTTCCCTTTCCCCCAAGTAATTTAGAGATGTTTGGGGTGAACACTATATCATGCCCAGCCTTACCTAAATTACCACCATTCTTGCCTAATATCAGTAAAAAACACCATCCAAAGATCTCCTATTCTATGTGGTCCCCTGAGATTAAACTAGTTTGTGTTTTATCTATCAAACACAGCAGAGAATCACAATAAATGTACATAGACTTCTATATGGTTAAATTAAGGTGACCAGTCTCTTATACCAGGATCTCCTTGACGAAAACCTTTAGTCAATGCAAAATGGTGCAGCTCATCTTCAGTGCTTCAATGAGATACTGATTTCAAGTATATTTCCAAACTGAATTTATGATGTTAGTAACTATCAATACCTTATTAATAGCATTAATATTAGGGCTATAAACTTGGGGTGCAAAACCACAGATAATCAGTAGATGGCAGCAAAGACTTAGTTTTTTCCCCCCTCTTTACTGTCCTCTAATGGTATCCTGGATTTTTATAATCCAGATCTGATAGGTCTCATTTACACACCACTAAAACTGCAAGGACTTGTCCAAGCAGTCACTGCAGAGTCGGTAACGACTGAGCGCAGATAAAAAATAATAATAATAATAATAATAGTGTTGTCAGGGCAGTTTATAAAACTGAGAGCCAGTTTGGTGTAGTGGTGAAGGCATCAGGCTAGAAACCAGGAGACTGGGAGTTCTAGTCCCACCTAGGCACAAAGCCAGCTGGGTGACCTTGGGCCAGTCACTTTCTCTCAGCCCAAGGAAGGAGGCAATGGCAAACAACTTCTGAAAAACCTTGCCAAGAAAACTGCAGAGACTTGTCCAGGCAGTCTCCGAGAATTGGACATGACTTAACAGATTAAAAATAATAATAATAATAATAATAATAATAATAACAACAACAACAACAACAACAACAAGTGTTGTCAGGACAGTTTATAAAACACAAAACATACAAAATGCAATGCAATGCAATGCAAAAAAAAAGGAAACAAATTGTAGGATAAACATTTCAATAGCAGAGCCTGCAGAGACTTGTCCAGGCAGTCTCCGAGAATTGGACATGACTTAACAGATTAAAAATAATAATAATAATAATAATAATAATAATAACAACAACAACAACAACAACAACAACAAGTGTTGTCAGGACAGTTTATAAAACACAAAACATACAAAATGCAATGCAATGCAATGCAAAAAAAAAGGAAACAAATTGTAGGATAAACATTTCAATAGCAGAGCAAAAGAACACTGAGAAATGTTCATTGAAAGGATGAACTAGAATTAAAATTCACCAAATTAAACAGTTCACAGTTTAAAAGCCTAGAGAAAGCCCATTCACCAGTAATCATTTGTCACTTGTGTTTCCAGCTAATTAGGGTAAAAATGGAATGGAAGTTTCCTAGAAAATACTGTAAAGGGCAAAATTGATGTCCCTGAACGTTTTAATCCCTTAAGTAACAGAACATTTTTGTCTTTGCTCCTATTTCCTGGTTCACCAAATTCAAAAACTAGTAAGATTTTTAATTTAAAAATCAGCATCCTTATCCTCCTGCTTACCAATTTTGCCTTCAACTTCCCCTCCCACCATTGCCTTTAACCCAGGAAAAATGCCTGACCATGGAACACATTAAGGAGCACCTGCTCTGAACATCTGTTAATTTGCTCGTATAGATGTACTCTATAGCACTGCCTCATTTTCCACTATTGCTGCAAGGGCAAGTTTAGTAATACATACTGTAGATCTGCCCAAGCAGCAAGAGTTCTTGAGCTCAGAAGGTAAATATTCTAGTCCGGTCACAATTTATTTTTTAACTATGAAGCTATATAGCTCTTTCTACATTCTATCAGAAGCCTTTAAAACTCTTGAAATATTCACCAAATCAGAAGTGTTTTGAGTAGCTGCATTATAACTTTGGAAATCTTTTTCTGAAAACTCACTTAAGCTATTAAGGTCCTGAGAAGTGGAGTACTTCCTATTTTAGCAAATGAAAATAATTTATAGTGCAAAGGAAGATAATGAAGAATTAGCATATCGTTACCTGCCCCAAATCTTTGAACTAGGTCAGCTTGAAAATAAACAAACAGAGGTTTAAACTGCAGGAATTATATTAATGAAGAGATTTGGACAATTCAACTTGTCAGTGATGTAGTACAGATAGTGAAAAAAGAAATTTACATGAACCTGTCTATTGCTAGTATGCAATGAAACCCCAATAGATTTCTCTTGCAGGAATGAAGCAGTCCATAGAAAGAAAGAAAAATGCCCATACCTGTTCTACTGTATCCTATCACCACTAGAAGGGATGCAAAAGGGCTAGGTAATATTTTTGCTGATCTGGCTACATCAGGACAGTACACTGATCAAGAAGCATGTTGGAGATCAGGCAGAAATCACTTTAAAACTTAAATTAGCATAATTTAAATTAGCATAAACCATTCAAGCTGTCAGTATGGTATATACAGTCCACTTTCCCTTAAGCTTCAGGCCAGATATTATACTATATCATGCCCCCACATACAGGGTTTTATATGATTTCCATCACCACCTCTTGGACCACCATGTAAAATAGGAAAATCCCCTTCTCCAAGCCACCTAAAGTGGGAAAGTCTCTGGGTTCAATTTCTGGTAGAGGGTTTGAACCTTGTAGAATAACACCTGGCTACCCACATCTGAAGAGTCCCTATAAAAGACAAAAATTGGTCACACAGTACATTCTGTGGTCAATGTAACTGAAATAAACCATAAAAGAATCTCACCCTTATCTTCCAATCTTCCTTTTGCCCTACTTTTTGGCACCCTCTATAAATGAACTCACAACAACCTGATTGATTTGCAAGCTGTTCCCAGTGCATTGTAAACCCATTTTACCTTTGCTGTGTGGTTACTAACAGCAGATCACAAATACTTCCAGAAGCTCATTGAGGTAAGCATGGAGCACAATGAGCAGTCAGTCTTTCCAATGAAAAAAGAAAGCACAGGACAAATACCAATAGCAGTGAATATGTGTAGCTCAGGGTTGAACTGTGGAGTCCTTGGGGTTCCAAGCTGAGAGAACCCCAAGGACTCCACAGGACAAATACCTACAAACATATTTTCTACTAATGCAAGAGCATGGAAAACCAAAAAAAAAAGCTGGGTTTCTCAAGTCTATAGAGCAGCTGGAGGTTTTTAGTTTTTGCTGCTTGAAAAGTACCACGCCATCATGCAGGTACTGCTGTATGATTGATAGGAGCATGTTCTTAAGCAGACATGAGTTTAATTCTTCTGTAGTAGACCTCAATGTATGGCAATGAAAGTCAGTCCAAGGCTGCAAATTAGATGCAGAATAAAAATACAACTTGCAGATCTGGATAAGACTGAAAGCTTGCATAGTACAATGCTTATTCCATGTAAGTCAGATGAAATACAGTATAGGAAAATGGAGAAAGGGAAAGTTTGAGGTTTGCTAGATTTATATTGTGTCTTTCTTCCAAGAGTTCAAGGCACTATGTGGGAATCTCTCTTCATTTTATCCTAACAATTTGGTTGGATAAATTGGACTGAAAAAGAGTGATTGGTTCAAAGACACCAGTGAATTTCCATAGCAGAGAGTGGACTTGTACCTTGTTTTCCCACTCCTAATCCAGTCCTTTAACCACTAACCCCTTATAAGCAGGGCTCCCCAAAGTGGTCAGTATCAACCCCCAAGGATTGATGGGACTATCCAAGGGGTTGATGTTGTTGTTGTTTTTATTATTTATAGTGCTATTAGTTATGGTAATATTTATTAAATTATTTTCATATAATAAATGTTTGGGGGTCAATGAACAATCTGAAACTTCATGAAGGGGTTGATGAGCTGGAGTCTGAGGAACCCTGCCTTAGAGTAAGATAAAAAATCCCAGTTTTATAAAGTAGTTCTAATGTGCCTTATTGAGAATACATCCCACTCAGTATAAGGAAATGCAGATTCTATGCATTTTTACGCAGAGGCAAAGAAAATAACCCAGTATTTCATTTCCTGCCATACTTCCTCAGTGTGTTTACAGCTTGTTTAGCATTACTGCCTTAACTTTTTCTAAGTGTCACAGTGTTGCTAAAATAAAGATATTAACTTCGTGTCCCTCTCACCCCCACGCATAAGGCAGATATGCTTAAAAACTCGACCCTAAATATTAAGTGGCACTCCCCTGAGTTTTGCGCGGTTAAACAAGCGGCACTTGCATATTAATGTCCTTACAAGGAGCACCTACCAAATTCGTCTGAATTAACAAGAGGGAGGGAGCTAACAACCCGGGGTTACGGGGGCTGCCTCTCGCACGATGAACAACTATCCTCGACGGGAACCACGAAGACCGTTGCGCCGCCCTCCCGTCGCGCCTTCAGATCCGGCAGAGGCGCCCGGAGCCTCCGTTATTTCTAACGGAACGTCCCCACGCCCTCGTCCCGCCCACCTCGCCTTCTAGCCCCGCCCCCTCGCCTTCCCGTAACGCTTACCTCCTCCGCCTACTCTGTGATTGGCCCGGCTTGCTCCTTCCCCGCGAAAGGGGGCCTCCCCTTCTTTCCCCTTAGTCTCTCGACTGCTGCGCTGGTCTCAGTTCCGCACTCCGTGACCGGGCAAGCGATTGTTCTGGTTAGAGCGGGTCAGCGGGTGCCTCCGCGGGAGCAAAGGTGCCCGTTCCTATGGTCGGGCAGGGCGCCTCTAGGGACCGCAGCCGCTCCAGTACTGCCTCCCCCTCCGCTCGTCGGGTACCTTACAGCCAGCAGCGGAGGCGCCAGCATGGCCAGTCCTAGCGAGAGCAACAGCAGGCGCCCCAGGAGCTGACAGAGTCTGCTACCCATCGCCCGCTCGCCGTCGGCCGATTAACCACGGGTCGCCATCGCCTG